TATATATATATATTTTTTTGTAGATGTATAATATATCCCCTTTATGTATGTGTGTATATATATATATATAAAATACACACACACACATATACATATCTTTATTTTTTTGTAGATGTATGATATATCCTTTATGTATGATGTGTACACACACACACACACATACACACACACACATACAGAGTATATCTGAAATAACGCCTAATCATATGGTGCTATTTCTAATAAAAAACACAAACAAATATCCAAGTCGAAAAGTCATCTATCATTTTGCAATTTTCGCAATATTTTTTTTAGTTACCCAATGAGCAAAATGTCTAAAATCGACGTGTAAGACAATTTTAAGATAGAGTTCTTTAAGAAACATCTTAAAAATATTTCATAAAGAACACTGAAAGATATTTTAAAATTGTCTTATACATCGATTTTATCTGTTTAATCGGCAATGTTCAAAAATTAATATCTCGTTAACTATTGCAAAAATTGGTAAAGGATTTTTCGACTCATTTTTTTATTAGGAATAGCACTATATGATTAGGGCATTATTTCAGATACACCCTGTATATAAAATAAACCATTCAGCATTTATATAGTACACACTATTTTTGTATGTAGCATCATGAATGACTTATTGACTTCTACGTGTCGCATACGATGTAGATGCGATGTTTACCTTGGTGTTTATAAACTATGAAGATTTCACCGGCAATCAGTCATCAACCAATAATTGAGGATCTATATATTAGAAGTCAGTAAATCATTTATGATATTAACATATAAAAATGTTTATATTTCAGAAACGGTTGAGCTTTCAATATATGTTCACTATAAATACTAAATGGTTTTTTTTTAACACCGTGTATACATACATTTTTTGTATATCTAATTTATATGATAATGATATATTTTTTTAACATTGTTAAAAATAAATATATTAAATCTAGATATTAAAAAACTAAATAGAATAAAAATATTAATTGTATAAGAGAGTTAATTATCAGTTACTGACGTTTCCAATCTCTTCATTGAGATTGTACAGCCTCTATGCTCAACAAATCAATAATGGTCCAACATAGCATCCTTTAGCTCAGTGGTAGAAGCTGGATAAAGAGCGAGGGTGAAAGGGGTAGAAAAGAGAAACCCCTCTAACAGAACTAGGAGGAAGCCAGTAAAGACACAGTGTTTCATAAGGAAACAGTCAAGATCCAATGTCCGTAAAAAGTGCTTCAATTGCACGATACACATGTGAAAGTGAGTTTCACGGAGACAACGTTTATAATTTTTATTTTTTTAGTGCAGAAATGTGAAATTAAATCTTTATTTTTATATGCATATCGGATGCGAAATATCGTTTTCGCGTACGTTCTTGCGAAATTATTACTAGCAATTGACCTTCGAAAATAGACGCAAATGTACGATTGGTAATATTTTTGTCCTCATGCCGATACATTCCATATTATTTCCAGGATACCCACTCCCAGACTGTAATGCGCGGATTTTTACGTGGTACATTATACTGTGCTTTGTGGTATGGTAGTATAGCGGCAGGTTTTTTATTTATTGCCTGTCCGCTTTTGCCACTGTTGTTGTTTAGTCCACCGATATTTCGAAAATGTGGAGACATTCTATTCGCATGCTGGGAACTTTATCCTACCGTAAGTACTTGCAAATCTTATTAATTATACAGATTACGTTTACGATTTAATTAATAATAAATAATAATTCGCACAGAAAACATCGAATTAATTCAAAATTATTCGTAAAAATCTAATTTATATTTAAATCTTTTTCTTTTATAACACACTTTATATTATTATTTCTATCTGCTCTCTACATTTTATATGTAGACATAATATTATTTTAAATTTAATTTATTTTAAATGTTCCCGATGTTTAAACACTTTCTTTCAAGGAAAAATTTTCTAAAAACTCTTGTTTTATTTTATTATTATTATATATATATATATTTCAAAATAAAGATTCAAACTCGTTAGTTAATTCTATTAATATATCGTTTTTAATTGTGGAATCTTAAATTTTATTCTGGCATTATAAATGTTTTAGGCTCTGTTGAAGGCGTTCGGTGTAAAGATCTACGTATCTGGCGATCATATATCTCCTAATGAATCGGCCGTGCTCGTGATGAATCACAGAACGAGGGTGGATTGGAACTTCCTATGGGCAGCGATGTATCAAGCGTGTATGCCCAGTGTCGGTTGTCATAAATTGAAATTTATTTTAAAGGATCCTATACGACACATTCCCGGTCCAGGTAATGTTCCAAACTCGATATACAAAGCGTCAATTATTTACAAAGATATATATGTATATACGCTCTCCTCGCCCTCACGTCTGTAACACGTGTATCTGTAACAGGATGGATAATGCAAATGAATGGTTTCCTTTATATAACGCGACGGTGGGAAGAGGATCGAGGCCGATTGTCGCGTACGCTCGATTACCTGATCGCTTTAGATAGCCGCACGCAGCTGCTGATATTCCCCGAGGGCACCGATCTAACGAAGAGCAGCAAGGAGAAGTCGGACAAGTACGCCTTGCAGCATCACCTGCCGCTTTATACTTATACCCTCCACCCGAAAACGACCGGCTTCACTTATCTGGTCCGGCATCTTCAGCGCGCGAATTACCTCGACGCTGTGTATGATCTGACGATAGCATATCCGGATTACATACCGCAATCTGAGATCGATCTGATCAAGGGTAAATTCCCGAGGGAGGTCCATTTCCATATAAAACGAATTTCATCCGCGGATATACCGGCGTATGATTCGGCATATGATGACTCGACTTTGAGAAAGTGGCTGGAGGACAAGTGGTCCGATAAAGAGACGATATTGCAGGGATTCTATGAACGGAAGGCATTCTCCACCCAGATCTGGCCGATGGCGAAAACGCTGCCGTTGCGAATCGCGTTCGGATTCTGGAGCATATTAACAGGTAATTAAAGTTTTTCTTGTCATTCGTGAGAAATAATAACAGAAGATAAATTTTATTTTTAGGGATGGCAGTGCTTCTACTTATCGTTTCTCCGATCTTCCAATTATGGACTCTGTTCTTTGCGTTATTTTTCATCGGATTGTCTATTCTCAACATATGCTTCAATCAAATTGAAATTGGATGGTATTGGCGTTGGAAAGAGCTCCTTTTGAGCTAAATATAGTTAATTGAGAATATATTTTTGTTTGAACATCACTAGGGAATCGCGTAGCTCTTTGTCTCTGTGATAATACTGTATGTAAGATCGTAACGTTAGAAGAACAGATGTGCAATATCACAATTTGATATAATTATGTCTAATATACTTTTCTTGAAAGTGTCGAAATTATTCGATTATATAGAGTCTCTCTAAATTGTTTCTATGTAATATTATTAGGTGTTGGAATTAATTCGTAGCGTTTTACAAGTGATGGGAAGTACTTTCATTAATGTATTTTTTAATGCTCATGTGAAATAAATAACATTCTTTCATTAAAAAACGCTACGAATTAATTCCAACACCTAATACATTCTATTTGAAATTGGAAATTCTTGAAAGCTTGAAAAATCTTAAAAGTTCTTCGAACTTTTAATATCTTAATTTACAAATTGTTAATGTCTGTATGTCCTGAGAATGTCTGAACATTAAAAATTTTCAATACATTCAAGACAAAAAATCTGATGGGATTGGACCAAGTCCTCCTTAAAAATGTTTAAAATTCACAAAAATAAAATTATTTTCTATATTACAGATGCCTGTAATTGTTTTCTTGACATAAAACTGAGAGCGGATTAAAATAATGTAAAGTATATATTACACAAAAAAGATATATTTTCAAAATATTCAAGACTTTCAGAAATCTTTTGGCTTTGAATAATATTCGAAACGATTTGATAGTTTCGTTGTACGCAACGTGATTCGATGTATTTGGAATCCATCACAACTTGCAATATAATTGCACTGATTTAATCCTTTTACATTTATAATGTCTCAATGTTGCAGCGTTTTAAAAACATGATAGCGTATAAGAGATAAATGTACATAGTTCTCTGATAATAGAAATTTGTTGTTCCGCTAAATTGGAAAATGTACATGAACATTTCTATTATCGATTTTGATTTGCAGGAAGTAAGTTTGCAATTGAATTACTGTTGGAATTATATATTCCAGCACTCAATTCCTGCAAATATAATTACGTATCCATCATGTTCTCTTTTCAAGACGTGAGGATCGCATTTCTAATCACATAAGCACACACACACACCCACCCACCCACACAAACGCGCGCGCGCGCACACACACACACACACACACACACACATACACACACACGTTGATGTTTTGCGTTAACATTGATGTTAAAGTAAAAATGCATTTTTAACAGAAATATATTTCATGAAAATGTCTATATTTATAAAACATATATAAATTTGTCAGACTTACACTGACAAAATGAAAACATTTTGAACGAAATATACTAATTTTTACTGCAATGAATTTCTAATAAAAATTAATACAAATAAATCGACTATTAAAACACATACATAAAAAGAATTCTACACACAAAATGATCCATTTATTATTTAAAATCTCTCCGTTACTTTTAAGAACAAACTAAAATATTTGAGAAATTATTCATTTTGAAAAGATGTATATTATGATATATTGATAAGCATCTTCAATACATAATATATTTTCCATATATAATTTTCTATATTTCAATATCTTTCAATATCTTTTTAAAAATCGTCTTTCAAATCATATGATTTATTTTTTACAGTGTTATCACCAACATCATAATAAATTTCGTAATCTAAATTGATGCGCGACTTTCAGAGGAGTACGAAAATTACATTGATTAATTTTAATATCTCTTTCAGAGGCGAAAAATCTTTCACCAAGGTCTAATCATTGAGTAATATCTCATGTTACATAAAGTAATGTAATCTATGATTCAATGTTTAAAAAAGTATTTATGTCGCATAATTTTTATAATTCATAGTATGTTAGAAAATATTTATTTTTTTCTAGTATTCTCGATAAAATATAGATTAATTATCGAACAATTTCGAGTATAAGTAAAAGTGAATTCACGTGCCAAAGAGATATAAGCAGTCAAAATAGTTTTGTAAAAGCGTAAATATAGCTGTAGATCTGTATACGTATGTATGTGTAAGTAAAACACATAAGCATACTTCCTTTATATAATTGTAATGTACCTGGAATCTCGATATAAAAGAAAAATTAATCCTTTTTCTTTCATAAGCTTTAATAAAAAATATAAGTAGAGAATTATAAATTAATTGTAATAATCTCTGTATGTCTTATAGATTGGCAAAAAGAGAATTGATAAATTAAGCAAATTATTAATAAAGTGTCTATAAAAATCTTTCTGTACAAATAGATATTAATTAGATTGTCGTACAATGATGTGAAGTGCGTATAATGTCTAAAAATATTACTATATGTACTATGAACATCATAACATAATGGAGTATTTTATCGAATAACATATTTTGCGTGATGTACAATTTAAGACTGTAATATTACATGTGATGTATCAAGTTCTATATGTATTCGAGATGTATAAATCTGTATATTTACTTTGGATGTTAAGGTGGAAAAAAAAAAAAGAAGTAGAAAGCTCCAAATTGAAAGTAAATGAATCCAAAGTGAATCACTAATGGTGCAATAAAACCTTTGTTGTACTGCACAATGATTGTATTTAGAATGTACATATTTATGCTATTGTTTGTGCCATTCCGCTGTAATAAATTAAAAATAAATATGTAGAAATTATTCTAAATTTCCTATGATGTTATTTATTTCATTTATTACAAACATATATATGTATATATAATTGTTTTTGATATTTCTAAAATTTTTATATTTTATGAAAGTTTTTATATTTTATAAAAAAAACTAAGTTTTTCGAACTGTTTTATATTCAACTTTTATCAATTACATGATAATTCAAATTTTTTTATAAAGCATTTTCACAAAGATTCAAATCTCGTGAAATCTCGTGCTATTCTTCGTAGTACTATTTTTTGTAATAAAACGGATTAAGCGGACTTTGTATAGGATTCATTTTCAGCACGCTGTTCAATGGCTTTTTATTTGCATCAAATGGAATAGCTGGACTTTTGCGAACTTGTCGAATATATTCGGATGTATGTTGGGCTGTGTTTCGAGAGAGTCCGAATATTACCTTTTTTTTTTCTGCCATAGAATTGTTTAAATTAGTTTGTTCCTTCATCGGATGTGATTTCTGTAATAAACAATGAATGATTTTATATATATATATATATGTGTATATATATATATAGTATAATATATTATCATAGCAGAATTAATTATACAACAAAATATAGTATTAAATATCATTTACATTTTTTAATGATATTTTTTGGCTCGTAATCTTGTTTTTCATCTCACTTTCTTTCTTGGTTATGGGTTTGTTGTTAGTTTCTTCTAATCGAACTTTTTTGTTAGAAATTCGTGAGATAGAACTATGTTGATTTAAATCACTAGTTTTAGTTATTTGTCCTAAAGAAATTACTGCCTTCTTTGCTTTATGTTCTACATTTTTATCTATAGATTTCTTACTTTTTTTGTTCAATTTCTTTTTTGTAGCTTTATTCTTTTTAGAAGTATCTATTTGTAATTTTTTCTCATTCACAGTAACATCAGATTTAGTGTTGGATACATTACAAGTTGAATCACTTTTTTTCCGTTTCTTAAATGGTACTACGTTTGTATCTACATCTTGCAACTCAGTCTTTGCAGTTGTATTAGTTAATTTGTTTTTCGGTTTAATAACATTAGTTTCTAAATCTAAAGTATTTCCATTCTTCAGATCATCAATAGAAGTTTCATCACAAACTGCTTTTCCATTTCTTTCTCTTTTTCGTTTCTTATTCACATTGTCAGAGACCAAATTCTTCTCAAACTTGATGAGGCGCAATGCAGCTTTTCGCAAATCCATCTTTTTTCCCTGATTTAGTTTCCTGACTTTTTTTATTCCAAGCGGCATCTTTCCTTGCGACAATTCTGTAAATCTGAAAATATAAATTTTTTTTCAGTATAATATGTCATAAATATAATTTATAATATGTTTATATTTGATAGATAAATAAGAAATATACTCGTCAAAAAGTCTCAAGAGCTGCCTGCGTGATTTTGCCGTTGACGACTGATGAAATTTATACGTTGAAAGCAACTCAGCAATCTTCGCGGCATTAAAAGGTATTGGCGGTAGTTCGATATCCACTTTACCCGCCCTTGGATCTAAAGGCTTCTCAATCTCATTTTCTGGCTCAGCTTCAGAAAATTGTTTATCTTCATTGTCTTTTATGTCAGTATTTTCTTCTATGTTAGATATTTCTACTTTTTGCATATCATCTATATGTGCACAGGGAAAGCCGGCCTATTTAAAATATATGCGTTTATAAATTAATAAATATATTGAGATGCGTTACATCATGTATTGAAGTTTTTAGATATATTAACATACGTCTCTCCAAGCATTAAATTTTGTCATGTAATCTAAACCAATATCTGATTGGAATATCAAATATCTGAAAATATGTCGCATGATATGTTCCATCTGTCGTTCGTCACTTGTAGTTATTAGATACTCAGCAAAGGGTTTAATAAGTTCGTGAACTACATCTTCTTGTAGATTTCCATTACCAACCTACAGTATCAATAATAGACCATTTTTTAATACAAATTAAATAAAAGCCACAAATTCGCTTATATTGTATAAGTACCTTAGCAAGCTCTTCTAGATATATCTCTGTTACATGCAAATTAAATCCTAAGTCGGTTTTTACATGCAAAAAGAGTTGCATAAATATTTTCGAAAATTCTGTCACCCATTCCATGTTCCACGAATGATTTTTACAAACTACAAATGTTTGACGAAGAATTCTCCTGACCAACTGCAAGAAAAATAGAAAAATGTCAAGATTAGATTCCAAATATTCTAGTCCTTGCATGTCTATTGCAATCAGATATATTTCAAATAATAAAAGTACCATGGAGAATTTATCTAGTCTATACTGATCTATGCCAAACCATTCAGTAGCAAGTGTCTGTAGGGCACAGCTAGTGTAAAGTATAATTGTATCTTTTGATTTCAAGCAATGCACAAGCTTGCTCAGTGATTCTGCCAGCTCCTCCTGGATCAACATCTTGTCCGACATCCACATGCAGTAAAAAAGACCTTTCCATAAGCTCATGAAATCTGTCTTCGTAAACACTGTAAAGAATGCAAAGTCATATCAAGCCCAAAATACAAAGTGTTTATTTTTAAATTTCACATTTATATTAACTCTTTGTATAAATGATTGAGTCATTTGTATCTTATTATGTATTTCTTTCTTTGAAATATTAAAGAACACTTGGCTAAATGATGGTCTCTATCCTTTCCTTTTTTAATACATTGGATGCTTTCCAGCAAGAGATATACATGACATCATGTAACACAATTAAATCATTACATTTTTGTTTGCTAATGTTAAAAAAGCACCACTTATAGATACTATCTAAAGATGTCGAAGTATATATATATATATATATATGTAAGAATAATTATAATCTTCGTATACTTATAAAAGTGATAAAAATTAACCCGGAACATAATCTATCTCTAATAGCAATTTATTGAGGATATACTGATTAAACCAATAAATAAATAATATTTGAACACTATTGTGCCACTAGGGATCACATATAATAAAGGACCGAAAAATCATTGTGTGTTAATTATGTAATTTACATAATAATGCAAAAATTGACTTACCAAACGAACTCTGTGATCGTATCGTGAGCCATTTATTAAGTCTTTTTAGCACCTTGTCCCGGACTTTCTTGTCATTGTTAGCCAATAATCGCGCTATCTTAATTTCTTGTTGAAGATTAGCGACAACTAGAGTTTTTTTGCTTTTGTCATTAGATTCCACGGGTTTCTTGTTGCTAATCTTCGGTGTCTTCATCTCGTTTTTCCGTAGTGATACACGGGCATCATATCGTCTGTACTTTCTCACTGCCATTCTTCATACTAATTGTTTTAATCAATTAGATAATTTGATATATACTGTCATATTTCTTAATAAAGTATCAAGTGATATCAGGAATGCTTTTTATGCGAGCAAATATTATTGAAATGTACGCACACACAATACACGTGCAGCGAGATAATGGCTTGAACATAACCTAACAATACACATGAAACACATGGTGCTTCCTGATAGTGAGTAATCAGGAATACGTAATAAAAACAGGACATTCATGCACAATGAATTTTATTACATTATAAATGTGTATGTGAAAATGTTGCTCATTCTATCGAATACTCAATTATTTTGGTACTTTAATAAATTAATTAAATCTGATGAACATCTAAACTTATAAGGTTGATTTTTTTCGAAAGGTTTATGAAAAAAATTAGTTTAAATTTCTAATTTAATTTTTTCATGTAGAATTATTCCTTTCTCTATTGTACATATATACTTACAGTTAACAAACATTCTGTACATTATAATTATATCTTTTATATACCACTGTCACGGCTGATTTTATTATACACTGATCTGATCTGATCAGTAGTCTAGTTTCCGAAAGTTTAAAATGAAATCACATGGTGCAGAAAAGGACTGTGTGATTTCATTCTAAGAACCAACCAACTACAGTCGAGCAATCCTCTGTAACAAGGGATTACTCGATTATACAATAGTTGATTGGTTCTTAGGGCGCGTTCACACCTTGGCGGAAAAGTGGAAAGCGGAAAAGCAGCAGCCAATCAGAACTCTAGCTGGTAGTTTACAATTTCGATTACTTTTTGTACTACTTACTATCAGCGCGAGTTCTGATTGGCCACTGCTTTCCCGCTTTCTGCTTTTTTTGTCAAGGTGTGAACGCGCCCTTACATTCTGATCCGGATTAAACCTTCGGTGGAAACTAGGCCAGTTACTAAAAGGTTGCAACACTTTATATAAAATGAGATAAAGAAACTCTACGTACGAGAACGTTCAAGATGTATGTATAAATCAAAGTTTTAGTAAATTATTCAATTAATTTATTTTTCTCATTATTGAATGTACAAACGTAGCAAAATTAAAAAATTCTATACCAAAAATTGATAGTTTGATATATAATCGTAGCACTTGTTTAACAAGAATAATCTAAAATGAAATAAATTGATAATGCTTTTTAAGTCTATATGTCAATATTTCAAATCCACTGTAAGGCACAACTAAACATAGGTAAGCTGTAATCTCTCCTCCCCCCTGTAATTAGCCAGCTTTAAACCTTTATACCTAAAAACTCAGACAAAATGATTTTTTTAACTTATTTCCGAGAACTTTTTTGATTCACAAATTTTACCTTATTTATCATATAGAAGAACATTTTCCATTTTCTCTATTAGCGTATTTTTTATGTTAGATATAGCTATTATTCACTGTTACAAATTCGTCATTATTATATTTCGAGCGCTTCCTTTTCCTTGATGAATAATCAATGTAGACATCACGAACACGAAAATCTTGCTATACCTAATAGATGGTTGGTTGTAGAGATCTCGAAGGTGGGAATAGAGCGAGTGTCGCGTTAATAAATCTTGCGAGAACGTCGTCGATACAAAATGATGCCATTAGGTCATTACTGACAATGAGTGACAGCACGAAGACAACACAGGACAACGAGGATCAACCCGTCACGCTCATCTTTCTTAACTATGGAAAAGAAAGAATTTTCTCATATTGTACATAAAGGGATTGTAAAAAGAATTGATCATTTGCGTATCGTTTATTGTAATTTCTCGGTATATTAATGTCACATAGCGATTTGCATAATTCCACATCATGAATCTGCTGATAGTAACGAGTAATCAAAGTAACGTGTGTCACAACTGATAAAATATTCAAAACACATGAATGCTTAACATCTGTCAACAGATTATATGCTTCGTGGATGTTTCTCAAGACACGATTTCACCAGTTTTTCTCGTTTTCAGGAATGTATTTTTATCCTATAAAGTACACTATTTGAGACGATAATAGCAGTGGTGTAAAATATAAATTTGTTATAAAAGAACGCAAAGTCTTAAATTACTGTCTCATGATATATCGCATGACAGATCTGTAAAAATTATTTAGAATTTGTGGATCTCACTTTCAGAAAGTTAAACAGTACGATATTTACAATATATTTGATTATTTGTCTAAAGTGTTCAGGATGTTGTCAGGGAATAGAGGCTTCTCATAAAGATTAGAAAACAATTCGGATCAGAGATATTTATTTAATAACATATGTATTTCAGAATTCGCATTTTTATGGTGATATCTACTATATTTTATGCGATTATGATGATATCTACTATAGTGATATCTCTTATAGTTAAACATGTATAAGTTCGTTATATCTTACAGATCGTAGCGTGATACGGTTTCTCATCGTTTTAAATTCTTTTTTCGCCTTCTTGTGTAGTTCCTCTTTTCTTTTCATACACTCAATGAAGGGTGTAAAAAGTTTACGGATTATATCATCTGGTAGATTTTCATTCTTTCCACAAATCTACAATAATATATTATAAATGAGAATTTTTTTTAAATTAAACAAAATTTAAATTTTAGCCGTAAGTTCTCTTATTCTATATACCTTAGCACTCTCGATCACATACATCTCTGCCATATACATAGTAAAGTCTTCGTTTTTTTCATGTAAAAAGAGTTGCGTAAACATTTTTGCGAATTTTGTTACCCATTTCATGTTCCATGACTGATTTTTACAAATTACAAACGTTTGACGAATAATCATTTCGACTAACTGCAAGAAAAACAGAAACGACAAGATTACATTTTTTTAAAAATAGTGAAGTACTTCTTGCATGTATATTACGAGATATATTTCAAATAAAAAAAAATACCGTGAAGAATGAATCTCGTCTACGATGATTTATGTTAGACCATTTGACAGCAAGTATCTGTAGGGCACAGCTAATGTAAAGTATAATTGTCTTTCTTGTTTCCAAGCAGTGCACACTTTTGCTGAATAACTTCGCCAGCTTTTTCTGGGTGTATATGGTGTTCGATTTAATCCACATAAAATTAAAAAAGCCTTTCCATAACATTAAAAAATCTGTCTTCGTAAAGTCTGTAAAGAACGAAAAGTGCATCAAGTCCAAAATACATAGTGTCATGTCGTTCAAGTACATAAATATTAATTACTTATATGCGTTTATATACACACATTTGTGTATTATATTCGTTCGTATCTTATATTTCTTTTTTTTTTAAATATTAAGAAAACACTTGGCGAAATAATAGTATTTATCCTTTCCTTTTTTAATACATAACTTTGGATTCTTTCCAATAACTCGGAAAAAAAATTTTATATTTAATTATATAAAATTATATGTAATTATACAGGATGTTCGGTAAGTTTTGACAAAGCGGTCATGTGTGGATAGAACGGACTAAACTGAATTGAAAAGTCTTTTATCATTTTAAAATTTTCGCAATAGTTAACGAGATATTAATTACTAAAAATCGATGAATATTGGTTTTCAATAATTTTTCACTCAAATACTATCAACTTTTCAAAAAAACAGTGAGAGACAAAAATTGTTTATTTTCTTCTATAAAGTTCTGAGAATTTTTTCAGAATTTTTAATATCGTATTTTCTCGTGTTGATAAAAAAATAGTTGCTAATATATATACCGCGTATTCCAAATAAAGCGTTAAAAACATTCTGGAAAAATTCTTAGAGTTCTATGAGAAGAAAATAAACAATTTTTGTTTCTTGCAGTTTTTCTGTCTTGCAGTTGTTCAGTTTTTAAAGTTGATAGTATTTGAGAAAAAAATGATTGAAGACCAATATTCGACAATTTTTAGTATCTTATACACACGAGTTTTGTCAATACTTACCGGACATTCTGTATATTACTTTATATAATTTTATATAATTATATATAAAATATTTTTTTCCGGAAAGAGATACATGTAACACTAAGTAATACAATGAATCATTATATCCTTATAAAAAATTTTTCATTACATGAATATTTTTTTTTACTTATATGTATATATAATATAATTATATATAAAATTATGCATAATTGTGTAAGAGCAATTTTTTTACATTTTTCAAACACACTTGTTTTTTTTTAAAACGACAATGCAAACATTATATTTTATTATTTTTATATTTTTTTATTATGTTTTGAGTTTTCACATTACTATTATTATTTCTATTATATTAAAAAATAATTTTATAAAAGAAAGAGGGATGTATGAACATGTATACTTATACAGCACCGATTATTGCTGAAAATTTTCAGAAACATTTCAACTTTTCACACCTCATATGCAACAATTCTGAAAGGATTCTGCAATATGTCAAATAAAATGTTTTAAAAGAAATATTTCTAAAATCTATTATATGCAATTCTATTATATGCAATTTATTAAATTGAAACACATATTTAAACAGAACAGAAAAAATCATCATAATGTTAAAATGGTTTCAAAATTCCAAAATATTTATTAAAAATCATTTTTTGATCAATCGCGATTCAGTTTAACATTATTTTGATGTTATTAGGCGCCGAAAGATTTTGCAGGTATTTGCAGGGATATATTTACAGGGAAAAGGCTTTCATGTCTTTCTCAGGTTTCTCTCTGGTATGTGTATGTACAAGGACACTAGGAATTCCTTCCAGAGGCATATTCGGATTTCTATCTGGTGCTTTCCGGATATGTTATCCTTGTCATTTAACAAGGATGATATATGAATGGATGACAAGGATGCCTATGATTATTGTGACTTGTTCTACTTTAATTGCGAAAAATTTTTGTGTTTAAATGGTTCGTTCTGCTTTAATTGCAAAAAATTGTTGTATATGAATAATACGATAATTGTCTGGAAATTGCAGGTGTGATTTTTTAATAGTGATTATGTATAAGAGTGTTTATGCATGCACTGAGAAAAAAATGCTGTTGATTCAATTAAAGTCCATATTACGGACACTAACATAAGTAATTAATTCATGTATATTTTTATTGACATAAAGGTCTTGATTATTGAAATAATAATTTGTGCCTTTATATAGACTTTAATTGAATTAACAGTATTTTTTTCTCAGTATATGATTAATAATCAAAATGAGAGAGAGAGAAAGAGAGAGAGAGAGAGAGAGAGAGAGAGAGAGAGAGAGAGAGAGAGAGAGAGAGACAGAGAGAGAGTCCAAGCAGAACAAGTCATTATGATCAAAATGATGTCAAAATGGCTCCAAATGACTAAAAGTCATTTTTCAATCATTTCCGATTTTGATGTCATTTGATGTCATTTTGACGTTATCGTGACTTGTTGTTCTGCTTGGAAGAGAGAGAGAGTAGTTGGCGATATAATTACTATTTTTGAGAAATACTTTAAGTTTATTTTAATAAGTTTTGTAATCTGTAAACAGAGCACAAAACTCTCAATAAATTTTAAGTACTTCAGAAATGATATTTAAATATATGTTTCATTGATACTTAATATTCAAATTTATTATGTGACATAATAAATTTAAATATTATTTAAATATCGATCAAGTATATATTTTTGTAGTACTAGAAATGGCTGAGACTTCTTTGATAACATTTCAAAAAGATTGCAGATTCTTTCTATAACATTTTATCTTAACTAACTTTTCAACAAGGTTTTATGTGCAAGAATCGCGGACATTTTGTTATTTCAGAACTGTCTCAGAAATGTTGCAGACGTATTTTGCAATTTTTATGAAATGTTTTACTTTTTAATTGAAATATTTCTGAGATATTTCTGAAAACTTTCGGTGCTGTATGGATAGGCATATTTCATACATGATTATACATGTTTATAAATATTTATGTATGTTTATACATATTTATATATTCATGCATGAAAAGTTGTTTGCCAATGTTTAAACAAAGCATCATTTATATAGATACTATATTCTAAAGACATTGAAGTAATAAGATATTGTATTAAAATGTTATTCTTTACTTATAAAAATATTAAAAATTAACCTGAGATACGAATGATCTATCCCAAATAGTAATTTATTGGCATATATTAATTAAACAGAAATATATTGTGCCAATAAATAAAGAATATTTGGACAATATTGTGTTATTAAGACTCGTCTACACGACAAGGTGTGGCACAAACTTTGCTTTTCTACACGGAAACGCAGGCGCAAAATAAACGCAAGACGCGTACGAATGTTAAACATTGTTGTCGTTGACACAAACAGATGGTGAAAAATAAACAGCTGTGATTTTTTTATATCTGTTAGCAATGTTTTAATATAAAGTTGTGTATTAGGAACTTTTTCTTATAGAAAGTTAATGAATGTACGTATCACACGTTCTTCTGACAGATATATTATTCCCTATTGATCCATTATCATCATCTTTCTCATTATTACCAGGAGACAATGATAATTTTCCTTGTTCATGTTTTTAAGGATCTAAACCGTGTAATCGCATATAACAACCGCGCCAGCAAAAACAGTTGGCGTTGGAAATAAAATTAATTTATTTCCGTTGCGCCGTTGTGCCTACGATCGGGAGTAATTCTCTTACGCGTTCTTTACGCCTTGTCGTGCAGACGAGCCTTTAAGAATCGTACACAGGATGAATCAGAGTAATTGAATCAGATTTTTTTATCCTATGAGAAAATTATCAACTATATACCTAATTTTTTATTTAACGATGCAGATCGGATGCATGGATAACATCGTGCGAATTGCTGGTCTGAGCGTAAAAACAGACACGTTGAGTTATGAAAATTGTTACATGATTTTATTTTTATTATATACAAATATTAAAAATGCACCTTTTTCTTGGTGCGACTAGACCAGCAATTCCACGATGTATATGTACATATCTGATCTGTATCGCTAAGTCGATAATTTTTTTATAGGGTAAAAGACTGATTTAACTACTCTAATTTATCCTGTATAATAAAAAACCGGAAAATTATCCTATGTACAAATTTATGTAATAATGTACAAAAATTGACTTATTAAACGAACTATGATGTGTTAATCGTATCTTGAGCCATTTACTAAGTCCTCTTAGCATTTTATCTTTTTCATCATTGTTATTCAATTTTTTTATCAACATTAGCGCAATCTTCATTTCTCGTGCAAGCATAACTTTTTTGATTTTTGTTTTGGATATGTTATTGCTGTTCGGTCTCTTCGTCTTGCCTTCCTCAACCCGCTCGTAATGATCGCAACCATTGCATATTAGCAATCCCATTCTTTACAAAAATTGTTTTAATTAGTTACATGATTCGATATGTACGATCACATTTCTTAATAATGTATTAAATGATAGCAGGAGTGTTTTTTTATGAGAGAAAGTAAAATATACTTACCCGCACATGTGCGTCCAATGTCTTAATCGAGACATTATCTGGTGATATGGTTTTTCTTCTTCTGATTTCTCTTTATTGGTTTTTCGACTCAAATAGCGATATGATTCTCACTGCAGTAAACAGGACGCGGTAATGGTTTCTACACACAGAACGCAAAAATGTGCTTACCACGTGGTAAATGTGATATAGCGTAATAATGGCTTCTACACACTGAGGCCTTATTCTTGAAAAATATCGCATACAAAAAAACTAGAGAAATACTATAACATATTAGGTGCGCAACTAAGTTCTCGCTGTTATTTTGATGAAAATGCATCAAAAACAGCGAGAACTTAGTTGCGCACCTAATACATAACACATACTATAGAATTTCCCTATTTATTGAAGGATCCCTGGACTCGGAAAAGCTTGCCGCATGAATAAAATGCAATGGGGTAACCAATGAATATGTTAGAAGCTTAGCTGTAAGCTTATTGGTTACCGTGTCATATTTTGTGGAAGTTGTATTTTGTAGCGCAGTAGCTAATCATTCTTTCGCTTTTATGGTAAAGCAATAAATTGATTAGTTCTCACGTCAATTTTCGCCGCGCGATTAGCGTTGTCGCGTTCTTTGTGCAGGAATCAATACGCTATATTCATGTAAGCACATGGTATAATACATTTACACTATGATGTAAGCCCAAGCAATCGAGGCACGTGATATTTCCTGATACTGGGTAATCAGGAATACGTAATATAAACAGGACATTCGCGCGCGATGAATTTTATTAATATTGTTTATTTTGTCGAATACCTACACAATTCTTTTGTAATTGTGAATAAATATTTGTGTGTTTTAATTTATCACGATTAATTAATTCGGCGAATATCTAAAATCGATTTTCTCGAAAACAAGTATCTTATATGAAAAGATTATTCTAAATTTCTGACTTATTTTTTTTCCTATAAAATTATTCGTTTCTCTGTTATATACTTTCAGTTCCCAAACATCTTTAGGCCTGTTATTTTTAGCTTTTGTACCAGTTAATCTTTCTTCCTTTTCTTTTTAGGAAAAAAAAAGAAAGCATGTTTGATTCTTACCAGATGGATCCAACAATTATTAATTGTTCGGTCAAGTAGACCAAGAGTACATTCTAATTAAGAGAAATCTGGTTTAGATTGTTAAAATTTTCGATTTTTTTTTGCTTTAATCAATAGTATTACTATCAAAAAATATACTTGTAAAGTTTTAGACTAAAATTCGAAATATGCATTATAGTCTGAGAAATAACAACGCGCGCAGCAAGAGCTCCGTCCTTCAGTTCCTAGCAGGGTATTATTGACCTTAGCGAATATCTATTTAGTTGCAAGAGAAAACATGCAAAATTCAAATGAGAGTTTTAATTCCACCATTTGGTGCCTCGCTCCAAAACACTTATTTTGACGCAAAAATTATCAAAATCGCCTTCGTTGTCGCATGTGTTCTTTAATGAAGGCTATTCTAGTATTTCAAAGATAATGCGGTTGCTGGAAATAAATATTGGCCAACATTGTAAAATATTCGCCGATGATTACGACAAGGATCCGATTAACCAGCACAATTTATTGCAGCAGCCGATTAAGAGGCTCATACAGTTCGTATATTGCAACTATAACTATGTATAATGCGACAAAACGATTTTTTTTTAAGATTTATTATTAATTATGCATTTATTTTACTAGTAACTTATTCCACATAGTGGAATAAGTGTTCTGAATAAAAGGAATTGTTGACTTTATTAAAGTAAACAAAACAGCGTACAAGTTTGGTAATTTTATATTACATTAAATGACAATAACATAAAATAATATGTTACTCACAATTCACACTTATTACTAAAAAATGCATACGTTCAACAAAGTAATAAAAATCACTCTAATAAAACATTTTTATAAAATTCTCAATTCGATTAGATTTAGTGCAACAAAAAGCTCAGGAAAGCTAGATGCCTCTTGATTTCTTTCGGACTAGTATCCATTTCTGCAGGCATTTAATCAAGGCATTCCACAATGTTGATTTCTGAGTTTGACATTTCTTTTATCACGTGCATAGTTTGCCTACGAGAAAAAATATAACAAGTAGAACAAAGCATGGTAATGAAGTCTCTCTTAAATCTTACCTCTTATGCCATAATAACTCCAACACAAATATGATTATAGAGAGGAGTATTCCGTAGCCCATTATAACTAGCGCGAAATAGCATTCTGTGAAACCGATCGTGATGAATCTGGTCTGACTTGAACACACTGGTTTTCTCGTATATAAGCGATATTCCTCGCGATATTTAAGTCCGTATTCTCGTAATTTTAGAGCTCTAAAAACATAATTTCCGAACGTTCCGAGAATTATCATGAGATATCATGAGATTGATTCGTACATTCATAAAGTACGTTCTTAGAAATAATGTCAATAAAATCTGTTTTTAAAACTACGTAACATTTTTATGTTAGACTTTAAACTTCCAGGAAGTTTTATGTAAAGGAGAGCTAAAAAAGTATTGATTCTGGCTCTCAAGTTACACCTGAATAGACCTTTAAGAATTATTGTTTGAGTCAGAAGATGGAAAATAATCAACAAATTTATTCGAGAAATGGTGAGAACATTATGCTATCCTAGTGAAAAAAAGTTTGTACGAAAAAGTACAGAAAAACTACATAGATTGAGACAAGATCTTAGAAATTCTTAATTTTTTGTAAATATTCGTAGTGGGACGTAGAATAGTATTGTTTGATGGCAGAGAATTTTTAGGTTTTTCAAAGAAACAACGCCGCTTTGTCTCAATCTATGTAGCTTTTAGTAAAAGCTTTTCTGCCAGGATAGAATGGCTTAAATATAATAAAAAATGACTTTTTAATATTCTCCCTTAAAAATTTGAAAACATTATGTTTATGTGAAGATAATTCGAGGTATTATTTACCCAGTTTTAAATATCTCTAAATATGGTGATTGCTTTTGTACCGCAAGAAGTGGATATAAGTGATTTAGGAAATCAATCTCAGTTAAACCGCACTTCTCCTCCTCCAAATACGTGTCTTGCATCAGTTGATAAACCGTACCAATCTCACCATGGAATGCGAAGAGTTCGTTTCTTATGCGGGTTACACCTTCTTCTACAGATACCCAGTTAGCTTTGCTTCCTTTTGGCTCGATTCGCTGTTCCAGGATCGCCTTTCTAATGGGATCTCGGAAAGACTATCATCCCACAAAGAACTCTATTTTTCAATTTTGTATTTTTTGCTACTAATAACTTTACACCGTAATAAATTCAAGTATTATATAATAAATATAATTACATAATAAAAGTTTTCATATTAATTTCCATAATTTTGATCTACCGACCTGGAAATAATATTTACTATATACTATATTGTGCACACCCATCTTCAAAGGACTGTTTAGAAGATCTGGAAGAGTTTTGATAGAATCCGTGGAAGATTGTAATAAACCCACGATATTTGCTGTATAAGCCGCATAGAAGCTTAGTGAAGCAAGCAATAACATAAGAGTAACTATTCGAGATGAAACTCTATAGGGCTCGTACGAATATCCTGCAAGACAATAATTTTATGTGAAACGAAATAAAAATAATTTAATCCGTACAATCATAAAATACATAGAAAAAATATTACTTGTTTTGAATAAATACATTTTTTTGAATTATAAATTCTGAATTGAAAGAAATAATTACTTCCAATAAAATCTTTTTATTTCAATGAAATATCTTTAAAATATAAATGATTTATAATCAATGAAGAGAATGTTTTTGTCAGAACAAAAATAATTATTTGCTAATAGAGAGATTTGAAAAGAGCATAGAAAAATTTTGATTAGCAGCATATCCGAAAATACATTTTGACGCTTGCATGTAGCCGTACAAAATTTAATTTCAACAACGTACAAGAATCTATATTTTCAAAGTAAAATCATTTTTTATTGTTTTAAAAATAAAATTACTTTTCGTAAAAGAAATATTTTTGTTATTTAAAAAAATTCATTGTAAATATTTTCTAAAGATAACATTTCTTTACTTTTATTTAATTTTTTATATACTTTCATTAAATACAAGTTTTATGTAAGAACGTATTTTTTCATTCTAAAAAATGTGCAATAGTAAAGAATTATTTTCTTGAATTATACCTTAAATGTTTTTAATTATAAGGACTATTTTTATATAATAAACTTTCTTTATAAGAATATTTTACTTACAATTAGCAATAATAATTTTTTTTAGTATAGTGAATGTTTTGGTTTATTTGCACGAGAAAGATAAAATTTTGTTGCAGAGATTTTTGAATAATATTTGTGAATCGTTTTAATAATATTTCAAGTTTACAATTATATTATCAAAAATTATTTTTCTACCTTGCTGAGAAAATGCGCCTAAAAGAATGAAAAAATTATCGCTGATCGTTGGCTTGTTGGGATTTAGTTGATTCCAGTAGGCTGCTGATTTTGTCTTCCTATTGCAATAGTATTCCCATTTGATGGAAAAATAGAGCAAAGAGAAGACCAACATAAGAAATATTGCAAGCGCTATCCAGACATTCCGTTGAAAAGGCAGAGTAAATATGTTGCTCACAGTCGACAGTAAAGGTCGCCGAAATACAAAGCGTAAGCTAAGCAGATTTGTACATAAAATATGGATAATTGTAGTATAATAAAATGGAGAAAAATTTAATAAAAAATTAAAATTATAATACAGTTTAATCTTTTTTAATCAAGCTTACATTTGAAAGATAAATTATAAATTTTAACTGAAGTTTTAATTACTTTCTACCTCTTCCTAATGTTGTTATTAAAAAGGCGTATAAAACTAATTAAATTGCGCTTTAATTTAATAAATAATCTTTTTACCTTGTATGTGTATATAATTGGATGAATTGCACAACACCGACACGTTCCGGCACAAAAAATGTGGCAGTGCCGCCGATATCGATTTCACGTCGTTGCAACATCCCGGACATTCCGCTCCAGGAACCATTCTTGCTAAGAAATCCCCAGTTATTCGTGATTTCAAAACTTACCCTAAAGCAAAAATATGGATTTTTAAGTTAGCGAATATCTTAATAAACTGAATATAACTGCCATATATATATATATGCCATATATAGATATAAAATAGATGTATTTACATATGTTATACAATTATGTATATAGCAGTTCTATG